GCCAAGCAGCCTCAAGGTCCGTCTGCCTCTCACTTGCCTGCCTGCTTGCTGCTTCCTGCATACAGATTGCTGCACCTCCACTCTCTCGCCAGCTTCCATCTTCCCACCGACTTCCACTCTCACTCCCCGTTCTCCCTTCTCCTCCCTTCTCTCCTCTCTTCCGTGCTCTCTCCGCACTGCCCAGCCCCTGACCTCTCATCCCCTCCCATCCCTTGCCCACATGCCGCATTCCCTCATGGCCCACTCCCATGCGCCCTGCCTCGCAGCTACATGGACAACAACCGCATGACAGGGGTCATCCCAGCGTCCATTGGCAACTTCACCAAGGCCGTCAACTTGTAAGCGCCCCTGCTTTCTCTGCCCCCCCCTCCGCACTGCCCCCTCCGCACTGCAACATCATAGCAGTATACAAGCAAGCCCTACTCGTAAGACACAGCACGAGGGTATTGGAGACATCACAAGGGAATCACCTTCCCCTCCTCCACTCAGCTGAAACAGCATCGCTACAGTTCACGCCCAGTTCCCATCCCATCACCCTCTCTGCCACACCACTCCATTCCTTCCTTCACCGCTCAACTCTCTCTTCCGCCCACCCTCTGCCTTCACTCTCCCCTGCCCCCCCCTGCACGCCCCCTTCCCTGGCAGTTTCATCAACGGCAACTTCATTGACGGGCCCATCCCCAGCACCGTGGGCAGCATGACCAGCCTTGACACCCTGTGAGCCTAGCCTCCCTGCACTCTCTGTCCATGCCGCGTGCCATTCCTTTCCATGCCATGCAGTCTCAGCGCCCTGCTCTCCTCCCTGACCACTCTTTCCATCCCTGCTCCTCCATCCACCCTTCTCGCTCTCTTCTCCCTCCTCCCTCCCTCCCTTCATCCTCCCTCCTCCTCCCCCCTTCCTGCCGCGTGTCTCTGCCCCCCCCCCCCCACACATGGCAGGTTTCTGTCGGGCAACTGGATCAAGGGCCCCCTGCCGTCCACCATTGGCAACCTCAAGAACCTCAAGCACTTGTGCGTTGCACACGGGGCAGGCGAGCGGATGGGGGAGCTGAGAGGGAACGAGCGGGGTGGGGTGGGAATGAGTGTACGGAAGAGGCGGAGGGTGAAGAGGAGGAGGGATGGAGAGGAGAGAGGTAGAGAGGGAAGAGCAGGGGGTTCCAGGGAGATTTACTGGTGGGTGATTGGGGTGGTGTTACCTTGGGACTGGTGTAGGCAGGGTGCATCGCCATGTGTTTGGCCGCTCATTACTCATTCTTGCTTCCTTGTGCCTGCATGCGTAAACCTGCATGCGCTTGTGTGCCTGCGTGCGTGAACCTGCATGCGTTGGTGTTGGTTTGCCCAACATTGTGTGTGTGTGTGTGTGTGTGTGTGTGTGTGTGTGTGTGTGTGTGTGTGTGTGTGTGTGTGTGTGTGTGTGTGCGTGTGCGTGTGCGTGTGCGTGTGCGTGTGCGTGTGCGTGTGCGTGTGCGTGTGCGTGTGCGTGCGCGTGTGCGTGTGTGCGTGTGTGTGTGTGTGTGTGTGCGCGCCACGGCCAACAGCATCATGGAGTTCAACAACATTTCCGGTCCCATCCCAAGCACCATCGGGGACATGGTCAAGTGTGAGAGAATGTGAGTCGCATGCATCCCATCCCACACACAACTACAATCCCGTATCGGTGCCACTGCCCTGTATCCACCACTCTCCCTGCCCTCTCCTTCCTCCCCCATCATGCCTGTCCACTGCAATCTTTCCCCCGACTCCTCCCTCTCAACCCTTCCCACCTTTCCCCATCTCACCATCCCAATGACCACCTGCCCTGTCCCCCTCCCTTTCCCTCCCTAACTCACTTTCTCTCACCGTTCTGCCCTCTCGCCCTGCGTGCCATGCTGCCTACGGCACACAGTCTGTTGGACAACAACTACCTCACGGGAGTCATCCCACCCACCATCAGCAAGCTCACCAACCTCGTCTGGCTGTACGTGCAACATCCCTCCTCTGCTCTCCCCGTTCAATCGTGCCATTCCTTGACTGTTCTTGACTGGTCTTGACTGTTCTTGACTGTTCTTGTGTCATCATATACGTCCCTCCTTCACTGCTCGTTCTGTCACACCTTGTCACGACTCTGACGGCTCTACGACTGCCCTGTTGTGCCTCCCATCCCGTCCCCATCCGGCCTTCCATCATTCCTTATCGAGGCTCGTCCCATCAGACCATCTTATTCGTCTCTCCCACCTGCTTTCCACCTCCTCCCCTGTTATCGTCACCATCACCATCACCATCTCCATCACCATCACCATCACCATCACTATCTCCATCACCATCTCCATCACCATCACCATCTCCATCACCATCTCCATCACCATCTCCATCACCATCTCCATCACCATCTCCATCACCATCACCATCACCATCATCATCAACATCACCATCTCCATCACCATCTCCATCACCATCTCCATCACCATCTCCATCACCATCATCATCTCCATCACCATCTCCATCACCATCACCATCACCATCACCATCTCCATCACCATCTCCATCACCATCACCATCACCATCACCATCTCCATCACCATCTCCATCACCATCTCCATCACCATCTCCATCACCATCACCATCACCATCTCCATCACCATCACCATCATCATCACCATCACCATCTCCATCACCATCTCCATCACCATCTCCATCACCATCATCATCTCCATCACCATCTCCATCACCATCTCCATCACCATCTCCATCACCATCTCCATCACCATCTCCATCACCATCATCATCTCCATCACCATCTCCATCACCATCTCCATCACCATCTCCATCACCATCTCCATCACCATCTCCATCACCATCTCCATCACCATCTCCATCACCATCTCCATCACCATCACCGTCTCCATCACCAGCTTCCTCCAGGGCAACTTCCTGGAGGGCGAGGTGCCTGTGGGAATCACCAAGCTGCCCAACCTCTTCTACTTGTAAGCCCCCTCTCTTCTGCCACCTCTCCTTCTCCTCTTCATCCCTCTCCCTCCCATTCCTGCTCCTACCTATCACGTTGCTCCCTTGCCCACCTTCCCCCGCACCTGTCTACCCTGCTTTGCTCGCTCTTTATCGCTCGTACTACCTCCCTCACACCCTCACTCCCATGCTCCTGCTCCCTCTTTCCTGCACTGTCTCATGACCATGCCCATGCCCATGCCCATGCCCATGCCCATGCCCATGACCATGACCATGCCCATGCCCATGCCCATGCCCATGCCCATGCCCATGACCATGCCCATGCCCATGCCCATGACCATGCCCATGCCCATGCCCATGCCCATGCCCATGCCCATGCCCATGCCCATGCCCATGACCATGCCCATGCCCATGCCCATGACCATGCCCATGCCCATGCCCATGCCCATGCCCATGACCATGCCCATGCCCATGCCCATGACCATGCCCATGCCCATGCCCATGCCCATGCCCATGACCATGACCATGCCCATACCCATGCCCATGACCATGCCCATGCCCATGCCCATGCCCATGCCCATGACCATGCCCATGCCCATGCCCATGACCATGCCCATGCCCATGCCCATGACCATGCCCATGCCCATGCCCATGCCCATGCCCATGCCCATTCCTAGATTCTCGATCCTCATCTTCAAGTAACTAATCCCTTCAGGACCACACCCGCCCTCCTCCACGTCTCACCTGCACACCCCCTCCTCCCTTTCTCCCCTCCCCTCCCCTTCCCTCCCCTTCCCTTTCCCTATCCCTTTCCCCACCACCCCCCTCTCCCCACCCCGCCCCCGCAGCAACCTGGCGAGCAACCGGCTGTCAGGCACAGCAAACTGGGACTTCACGAACGCGGCCATCAAGGGTGGGGAGGTCAACGTGCGCTCCAACTACTTCTACGGCACGCCCTCCTTCACCGCCGCCGGCAAGCCCTTCTGCCCCATCACCAAGACCTCCAAAATGAACGGCCTGGATCAGATCTTCCTCTCGTCCTCCAAGTTCAACTGCTTCACCTTCCCTCCAAAGTACCCCTGCCCCGGGTTCAACGAGCCGGGGTACAGCAGTCCAGCGGTCTGCAAGGGCTTCTGTGGGGCGAGTTCCCCGCAGGGCACGTGCAACGGGCTGGGGTATTGCAGCAAGACGAGCTCGGTGGTGGGCGGGTGGGGGTGCGTGTGTGAAGCTGGGGCGACATTGGCACCGAACGGCACGTGGTGCTTGCCGGGCAAGGGCAGCACATATGGCAAGAAGTCCATGACGTTTCTGAGAGGCTGATGCGCGCAGGAAAGGTGGTCTGGGAAGGTGGGGGTGTGGGGGAAGAGGAGGGGAGGGGGGGGGGAATGGAGATGAAGGAGCGAGGGGATGCTTGTCAGGGCCTGCTTATGGGAGCCGCTGCCAAACCTGGTGAGGGTCGGCTTCTGTACCATACTTGTGCTGCCGTGGAGGGTGAGCTATTGTAGGGCTGCGGGCGGTCCTGTTTCTGTTTTGGTGGTGTGGGCAGAACTTACAGACCGTGCTGGGACTGTGGATGTGTAGTGTTGGTACCGTATCATTGTGTAGCACTCAGGGAAGTTCAGTGGGGAGGTTCGGTAATAAGGGTGCTCGCTAGCTACTCAACTCAGCCTTGTTATACACTTGTTGTATTGTGACTACCCGTTTTGCGATGATTGTGTGCCATTTTGGTTGTAAATTATTCCTGTTGTTACATTTGATGCTACTTCTTGTCCATACGTGAACTATGGTACGTATGCCAGATGGCCCAACAGGAAAAAATTTGCTAGAGATGTACACTGGTTTACTTGTTTGTTTATAAATTATGTACTTGTTTGTTTGTTTGATGTACTGTACATGTTTGCTATATTTATAAATTGTGAACCTTTCATGATGTGAATCCTTGAGAATAATTTGATCTCGTTTGAAGCTGTTCAGCTTGGTGTATTGCTAAGTCAGGATAAGCACCTTGATTCGTACAGTACATACACACAAGCTCATAACGGGATGCTATAGAGTATCTAGCACACTCCATTAGTCTTGGCAATGCTGTTTTTATTGAAAACACGGAATGTACGCATACGGAGGGCGGAAGAATCCAGAGAATGGGTGTGCTCCACAGACTGCGTAGGAGGCATCAAACGCGTTCCTGTTATCGGGGAAAACGTGAACTTGTCGTCATCCGCCAGATTGCGCGCGAGCCTGCTCTTCCCGGCAGTGGCTGCAGCGGCAGCAGCAGGCGGATGCGCAACAGCAGCTGCTGCTTCAGCCGCAGCCGCAGGCGCGCCAGCAGCAGCAGCAGGCACAAGCGGAGCGGGCAGCTGCGCGGCCCTATCTTCCAGAATCTTCACCGACATTTTCAGATCCGCGAGAAATCGATCGGCGAGGGATCGAGAGAAATCCTCCCTTACAAGCACGCGGAGCATAGTCACGTGTTCGAGATTAGGCGCCATCGTGTAAGCTGGCACAATCCAGCCAAACTGCTTCAGCAAATCCGCGATTTCGTACTCCGTGAAGCCAGTCTTGTCCTTGAGGCCGAAGGTGATGAGCGGAACGCCAACTTCCTTAGAGTAGATATCGAAGCAGCCCATATCGACAATCTTCTTACGGAGGTACGCCGCATTAGTATGGCAGTTGTTGATGATCTTGCGGTAACCCTGGGAGGTGACGTGACGAATGGCGGAAAAGAAAGGAGAAAGAGGGCGGAAACGGCAGTGTCGTAATATCAAGAAATGGAGACCGGCTGAGAATAGCGCTCGCGGTTGAGATCAGTGTAAAGCGATGAGTACCCTAGTTCTAGAAGAATCGAAGATACAAAGGTACGTGGCTGGAAGGTATAGCACGAATAAGCTACCGCTGGACGTGGCGCGTGACTAAATCGGGGCGCGTACCTCGAAGCCCAGGCGAATGAACTGGTAGTACTGCGCGATCAGCTGGCTGGCACCTGCGATCCAGGGGGGCCGGAGAAAAGCCGCGGGGGGTTGCGCGGGGGAGGAAACGAGACAGGACGTGAGGACAGTCCGAGGTGGGATGACATTACGGTGCATTAGTACAGCTCTAGCTAGTAGGTACTAGAAATAGCAGTAGCGGTAACCCCCCATAGTACCTTTGGAGAAGTTGAGCGTGAAGGTGGGCTGGTCGGCGCCCAGGTAGTTCACATGGAACACGAGATCTTCCGGGAGGTCCGCCTTGGAGCGCCAAACGACCCACCCGACGCCCGGGTACACGAGCCCGAACTTGTGCCCGCTCACGTTGATGGACTTGACGAGCGGCAGCCGGAAGTCCCACTCCAGGTCCGGGAAGAGGAACGGCGCCACGAACCCACCGCTCGCTGCGTCCACGTGGATCGGCGTGTCCCACCTGCCACGACGATCGTGGGATTGGCGGGGCGACGGGTCCCGCGAAAACGCGGAGAATAATTAGCGCGGTCGCCGCGGAGCATGATTGTGCGCCCCGTTAAACGAGTCGGTGGTTGACGAAAGCGAAAACGAATGCAGCAGAATCTGATTGTCTTCGCAGTGGTATCTCATGACCAATAGCGGCGCGCGTGGCGAGCGCCGTGCATCTTACCCGGTCTTGGCATTTTTCTCCGCGAGGAGGTCGTTGAGAAGCTTGATGTTCTCGAATTCCCCGTTATAGGTGGAACCGAGAATACCCGCAACGCAGATAGTGTTTTCGTCGACGGCCTCCACGGCTTCGTGAGGGTCCATCACGAACGATCCTTCCTTCACGTTGACGAACCGCGTCTCCACTTCGAAGTAGTTGGAGAATTTCTCCCAGCACACCTGCGGCACGCACCACGCGTATCGTCAGTCACCAGGCGGTCATCCACCAATCCATAAAAAAAATCGATCGAGTCGCAGTATTGAAGTAGTAACCACGAACCATGTACTCAGTGCTGCTTCCACGATTGTTGCACAAAAGCGTCGCAACGAGTGACGGCTTCAGGAGCAATTTCCTCGTCTGGCGCAGCAGAACGACTCACCTGCACTTCGGAGCCGCACACGAAGTTGGGCTTGTCGTACGGCTTGCCTTGCGCCTTGCGCTTGTTCTGCCACTGGCGCTTGAACGCGAGCCCCGCCAGCATGATGGCCTCCGACGACCCCACCGTGCCCACGCCCACCGCGCCCTCCGACTCGCCCAACGGCGCGTGAAAGAGATTTGCGATGATGTTCACGCACCGCTCCTGCCAGTATATTTAGCGAGGGATTTTTTAGCCTTAATTAGTATTAAGCTCTTAACTGAGTAAGAGTGTGATGGTCCAGAAAGCTGCAGACGGACATACCTGGAGGTCGTTGGTGATGGGGTATTCTTCAATGTCAATGTAGTTCTTATTGAGTGACTCCATAATGAGTTGGTCGCATTCTGGCTCCATCCACGTGGTGACGAAGGACGCGAGGTTGAGGCGCGGGTTGCAATCCAGGAGCAGCTCGTCGTGAATCATCTGATACGCCGCCTCCTTGGGAATGCCGTCCTTGTCCATCCGATACCTGTAAGAGCATAACACGATTAGTCATTATTGCATGAGGTGACGGAGTAGCAAGCAGTGAGTAAGGAGTGGGGAATACAGTATTTGAGAGTTGGGTTATAACGGAAAATACTTGGGAACGGATGCCGAAGTGTAGCGAGAGGCGAAGACGGACTCCACGACATGATCGTCGTCCCTGGCGTGGACAATGTTGTGCAGCATTGCGGCGTGGCGAGCGTGCGCAACAGGGAGGAGGTGGGAGGCTTGGAAAGGGGAACAAACTCCCAAGCCGAAGTGAAGATTCAACGAGAGATAGAAGTTGAAGAGCCACGAACCTTGGTTTTGTACATGTGGGAGTGGGCCTCCAAGCGGGCTCTTCCTGAATGGTGTGGTTTGTGCCAGGTTTGGTCGGGTGGCTGGTTGAGGCTCAAAGGCTCGTCCCTTCCTTGACTGAAGGTCCGAGCTCCAGGCCAAAGCAAAGTGTGGCTCGTCCATATGTTGACGAAATTACCCCATTCCTTGGGGTATTCGTGAAAGACAGATTTCAAATACAGTTCGTGCTTGCACTTGCAAAAGCCCCAGAAACGAGAGGCCTGGCAGAGTACTGTATTCCTGTCAACGAACTGTATGATGAGTTTGCCCCTAAACCCCGAAAAGGGGCAAACTCGAATGAGACTGAATTCCATTTGTGGATGATGAGGATGCAAGTCAGTGGTCCAGAACACACAGACAAGCAGCTCGGGGAAGGAGGTGCGGCGCGCCGAGCCTCGACGTCCTTCACAAACCCACAGGCCATTGATTCCTTAGAGTGCTCTTTCACTGAATGTTCATACCACCTCTAATGCTTTCAAAGGCCCTCCACGTAAGCAAACGAAATCTGCTGTTCCACGTGTCATTTTTACTCGTTACTGCCAAAGTTATTTGCACCACAAGGTGTCAAATGCTCGTGAATACTTCAAACTGCATGTAATTTTTGCCATTTCAACTCATCTTTCCTTCCTAAAAGAATCTAGATGCAATATTGAATGCAAGATTTGAATGCTAACTTATGGTACAACAGAAACAAACTCGGCCATACAAAAAAGAAGCAAGAACTGCGTGCTAGACAGAAAAGGAGCTTCCCCTCCCCATCATCACTTGCTGATGGGTTGAACGGCAATCACAGACACAACGGAATGCCCTGCAGAATCTGTCCATGTGAGGCTACCATACATGAAGTTCCATGATGCAGCTGTCACAGTGAGCTTCACAGAGAACATGGCGCTTGCACCCTTGTTCAGCAGCAGCTTGGTAGGACTCACCACGACCGCCACACCTGCTGGTGCGACAACCGATGCAGTGTATGTTGACATCGCATTTGCAACGTTTGTTACGGTTCTTGAAACTGTAACTGTCTTGACAAGCCGTCCCACCGAGATCGAGGGTCTGTTGAGGTCATACGGTTTAATCCCCGCCAGCTTCACTCCTCTCGGAAGCATTGCCTTGGCCTTTGAAATCCCCAATCCTGCAAGGAAATTGTAATAATCCGTGGCTCCCGCATTGTATGTCAATCCTGGGTCCAGCAACCGAGAGGGGTTCACATGGCCCCCACCCATGTCCCATGGCGTGGCCACAACCCCAGCTGGCGTGCCAATAGGAGCCCCAGCAATATTGGTCCGCGTAGCAGTTGTAACAATCGCGGACATGACCTGCGACGGGGTCCAGAAGGGGTACTTTTGCATCACAAGCGCTGCAATCCCAGCCAAGTGTGGTGTAGCCATGGACGTCCCAGAGATAGCTTCAAAAGACGGCTTTCTCGCAGAGGAAAGAGACTCGCTGCGCCATGCCGCCCACAGCGACACTCCTGGACCGATGATATCCGGCTTTAAGATGTCGTTAGTGGGCTTGGGGAGGGATGGGGTGGTGTAAGGGTTCGCAACGGGGCCTGTGGAGGAGAAGTAGGCGAGGGTGGGGGCGGTGGGGGCGGAGAGGCGGGAGAATGTCGGCGCGAGCGTGGCGACAGGAGAGGCCGTGGAGCGAACATACGTTCGCAACCGATCAGCATCGCCAGCAGAGAGATATGCAATGGGCAGCAGCTCGTGGTATGGTGTGAAGGGCTCGAGAGAAGCGGGGATGTTGACCAGCAGCACCGCTTTGGCGCCCTTGCTGCTGAGATCATTCAGCTTCTCCCCTGTGGACATGCCTCCATAGGAGCAGATGACAATGCGGCCCGAGACGAGAGCCGCGTCGAGAGCGCCAGGCAGGCACTGGTCCGCGCGAGTGACGGAGACGGAGGAGCGGCGGGCGGCAGTGCCTTCGATGAGGGGCGTGGAGGTGAGCGGTGTGGCTCCGGCGCCGTAGCCACTGGTGGTGACGATTGTGCCGTCGCCGAGAGTGAGGTCGGCTGCACAGCGCCGGCTGATGGTGCTGCGGATGGGGGGAAGAAGGGAGGAGGAAGGGGGAGGAGGGGGGGGAGAGGGGAGTGAGGGGAGGTATGGGTGAGGACGGTGCGATGGGGGAGAAGGGACTGGGAGAAGAGAAGCACAAGAGAGAGGGGGAGATGGGAAGAGAGGGGAAAGGCAAGGAGGCAGGCATGTGAATCTGACCTTGCTCCGACGGTGAGGTAGAACGGGGAGAAGTTGGAGATAGTGCGGTATCCGGAGGGATCGTCTCGAGGAGGCCCGCTGTTACCCGCTGCGTACACCACTGTCACGCCCGCCTGCTCGCACACGGAAATGGGAAACATGGAGGGAGAAAAGTGGGGAGAGACGAAATGAGCAGGGAGAGAGATGAATGAGAGCGACATGATTACGGGGGAAGCCGGAGGCACAGCCGCTGCTGTGGCAGAGAGCACGGAGGAAAGAGGCCACGAAATAACCCATCAAGGCCACAAGAGCGCCACAGGACATGCGTTCACATCGCGGCAGGAGAACACATACTGCAAGAGAGAAATTCCTGCCTTCGCACACCATCGGAACATGTGATGCCGTTTTTGAGGCGCATGGAAAGCGACCAATGCACCGAGAATCAACACACACACACCAGATTGGCATTGAGGTAGGAGATGTCATTGAAATACGTAGCAGAGTTGTCAAGTCCGCCCAGCGAAAGGCTCAGCACGTCCACCCCGTCAGCCACTGCGAGGTTCACCGCTGCTTCTATGTCGACGAACGAGGCAGTGGTGCCGCCCGACTGCGCGTTGCTCCAGAACACCTTGTACACTGCCAGGCGCGCGCGCGGGGCCACGCCGCTTCCTGTGCCGATGGTCTGCCCGCGGGATGTTGTTACAGTCACGCCCGCGTTGCCTGCTGCCGCGCTGGTGCGGAGAAGGGAGGGGGGATGAGTGGTGGGGGGGGGGGGGGGGGGGAGGGGGAGGGGGGAGGACAGGGGGAAGGGGAGGGGGAAGGGAGGAGAGCTTGGAGTGGAGCTTTTTGACAGAGAGGATCTGCAGAAAGGCAGAGGCTGCATGCTGCATACATCCACTTCATTGCTTCGCTCGCCCCGCCCATCCCCGTGTGGTTCCAGTGACCCGCAGCGGAAATTCCCCCTTCCCCCAACCCTCCCCTGACCCGCCCCATCCCCGCCGTCCGACAAGTCGCCAGTCAACCCGCGGTCACCCCGCTTACCCCGCACACCACGTGCCGTGCCCGTCCGCGTCGCGCGCGGAGCGCCAGTCGTCGGCAAGGCTCTCCCGCGCGCCCGTCATGGCGCGGAACCCCGCATTCAGGTACCGCGCGCCGATGAGCTTGCCGTTGCAGCGCGGGAAGTCCGCGGTCGTCTGGCACACGCCGCGCCACGTGGACGGCCACGCGCCGTAGGGAGCGGTTGCCTGCGGAGCAGGGGAAAGGAGAGCGGGGAACGGGGAGCGGGAAGGGGAAAAGGGGAAAGGCGTTAGGGGTGCAAGCCAGTGGGAAGCATCAGCGGAAATATATGGGTCGCGATGTTCGGCTGATGCAGCAGCAGAGCGCGACACGGACTCCGAAGTGTCAAGTAGGACGGGTTTGGGACAGACATCTTGAATCTTCAGAAACACTTAAGCGTCTGATCTCCTAGTAAGCCAAGTAAGCGTTTCGGATAAGTCCGATCTCTCATGCAAGAGACTGATAATCTCGCACGCGCTTGAAAAGTACTAAATGTACGAGAACGAGCGCAGTCTAGAAGTAGTTGACGAGGTAATCTCCACTCACGTTCGTGTCGCTGAACGACGGATGCTCCGGCCATATGCCCGTATCCACGATACCGATCACCACGCCTTCTCCCGCTTTCCCCTGCCCGCCCGCGCTCGCCCACACCGATTCGGGCAGCTTCAGAAATTCCGACGAGTCCGTCGTCAGCTTGCGCATCGCAACATTCGCGACAACGTCGGCGACGTTCGGGTGCCGCTGTAGCTTTCGCAGCTGCGAAGGCGTGAGTTCCGCGGCGAAAGCGTTACTCGCGTATTTGTAACTGTACAGCACGCGGCTCGTCGCAAGCCCGACGTCGCGCGCGACCTGTTTCTGCATCCGCCCCAGCATCTGCGCAAACGCGCGCGCTGGCCCCCGGCGGAGGTCGATGCGCGGAAGCCGCTGCGCCAGACGACTGCCGACACGGCCGGCGCGCTGCGCCATGCTTGCGACTCCCGCGCCGACATCAGCGGCGGCGGCTGTGTTGGAGGAGGGCGCGGTGGCGTCAAATCCGGGGATGCCACCTGTGTACGTGGCGACGGGAGGCACGCTTCGCATGCGAACGATGTAGAGCGCCGACGACCCGCCGGCGACGGGCTGCGAAGATTGCGCTGTGCTGATCTCGTCGCCCACTGCTGGTGCGATGTCCTTGTCGCTCAACGTGCCTGCGACAAGGCAATGAGAAAAAATGGAGATGAGGGAGACAGCAGGTGAGTGTTGCCGCTCGCCGCTCGATTGGGAGCAACGCGGCGCGGGAGGAGACGCGGCGGCAGTGTCGTCATGCGGCGACATACTCAGGATTCACAACGGGTTGGAGAATATTTTCCACTGTTGTATGCACCCGGACCGCTTAGCACGTACCATCATCTTGTGCCTCAATCGGTGCGATGCTGGCGGAGGCGAGAATAGCGGAGATCATTACTGGCACTAGCCAATGCAAGTGTCGCCGACGCGGCCTAGTGGAGGTCACCACCCTGTCTTCGCCTCGTCTCCGAGTCGCGCGCACACGCCTCGTTGACGACGACGGCGAAATGCTGTGGTCCCATAACGTCGATGATGGTGACCCTAGTGACGATGACGTGCCAGTTGTGCTTCTAAACTTCATGCGGCCACAGCCCGTCGCCATGCTCTTTCGGTGATTCTGAAGCCTTTGCGCAGATGTGTCAACGGTGAGTTAGTGTGCCAGGAATTCAACGTATGCCGTTTGTCAAGAGAGAGAAGTCGAAAATCCAACTATTTGATCAAGAGTGCTAAGGAGTATCCAAGAGTGGCGGGAGCAGCGGGAACACGAACGAGCCAGCGAGCACCTGCGACTTTCGTGCTCCTAGTGACATCAAACTTATTGCTGAATGTCATGTTTGCTCGTTCTGTAAAGTGGAATGGAGACATTGTTCGTCAGAATAGAGCCTATTCACCAACATATTCCAGAGGAAAAACTGGCGGCGCTTCGTTCATGGCTTGTGGACGAAATCAGGCTTGTTGCGACAGAACGTAATCGTGTGTGACAGCTGTGGCCCAGCGGAGCTTCAAGATTTGGCAAAATTTGTGTATGAAGGATTTGCTCATCCTTGCTGTTTACTTCTAGCCCTGCATTCTCTGGGTGACCGTCTCATTAGACGGAAATGCAGAAGGGGGGCCTGGAAGAAAAACGTTCTCGCGGTGAATTTACCGCGGGCCAGGTGTAGCTGTGCTGCTGGTCTGCGGAATTTGTTGGTCCCCCAGCCCAACCCAACTTCCTTCCAACTATGTCAACACAAGTCACCCATTCTTGAATTAGCTGCTCAGATTCAAGGGTCGGGTAGGGGGTAGAGGGGAGGGGCGTGTGGAGTGGAAGAGTTTTTGCCAATCAACGTTCTGACCTGAAATTCTTTAGTTCCTGCAAATTCGTTCGGACTTAGCATTCAAAAACAAACACGCGGAAGTTCCCACACCCCCAATCCTTCACTGTGGTGCGTACAAGTGCGTGGCATTTGCTGCAGGTGCAGCAAACAGCGCAATCCATGTCGGGCAGGATTCTCGCGGAGAATTTTGCTCAAATCCACGGAAGCGCGGTTCGTTTTATTTTTGCCACGTGGCAAGCCTTCGATCGCGGGAACCGCGTTTTGTTTTATTGTTCCCACAAAATTCAAGAGCAACTTAGTTAAATTTTTACCGCGCTGCCCGCGGGCAAAAATAAAACCCATTCGGGCATGGCATGTGTTAGGGAGGCATCAACCCGAAACACCTTGCCTCTAGGTGTTAGGGTTGATGCATCCCTAACGCATGTTTTTCCTATAGGGGTTTTATTTTTGCCCGCGGGCAGGGCAGTACATGTGACTCACTAAGCCTAACTATATTTCTCTTAAAAATTGTGGGAACAATAAAACAGATCACGGTTCCCACGATCGAAGGCATGCCACGTCGCAAAAATAAAACGACCCGCGATTTCGCGGCTCGTTCCCATGAGTTCCTCGAATTCGTTTTTGAGCCGCCGTCAACCCTTCAGGTCAGACACCAGAAGAGACAATCCAGCAACATTGGAGTTGGGAAAGTGAAGGTTTTACCATGGCCATCACATTGCCTCAACTCATCGCGACGGGCAGAAAAAAAGGTATTGTTGAAAAATGGGAATGTTTCTGTAACCCGATTGACTTTCTGATGGCGTCTGCGAACGGCAAACATTGTTCTGTCAGCATCTGTAGATGATTGTTTCCGAACAATTGGACTTTCTTGGTGTAGGTCGCGGAAAATGCGACTGTAATTTGCGGGCCGTTTCCCGTGCTCATTCGCAGAAGGGAGTCAATTCGCACTGAGTTAGTGATTTATACACAGTATGGTTGAAGATTGACTGTACCGCAGCTGGTGGGGCTGTGCTGTTTCAACATTGTGGTACAGCTTGGTTTGTCGTAGGTGCGCGAACATGTGTTGGTGAGGTGAGCCCAGGAAGGTACAGTTGGTACATGGATGTCCGAGGAAGGAAGTGCTGTACACGTACAGTTTCACAGCATAAACATTTTATTTACATCTCACATTGTCAACATAGTTGTGCGGAATAACGAATAAGGAAGCTTTGGCAGTATGCTTATACAATGAAAGATACAGGACAATATAGCGCGCTAACCTAGCTAGGCGGGAATCTCTGCGACGCGAGGCAGCCTCGGTGCACTTCCGAGAGTGGGGTTGTAAGCTAAGCAGTAAACCCCGTTAATGAAATGAATCGTTTCTTATATCGAGTCTTCATTCCACATCGCGTCCCTTACTTCCTTCCCCCTCCTCGCTTCACTATTCCCTTCCACCCCCACGCGGCCCGCCCTCAAACGCCAATGCAATCAGCATTCTTCCGCTTCCCTCCGAGTCATTCCATGTTTGTCCCCGTCATTCAAATCCTACCTCAACTACTCCCCTCCCCACTGTTTGCAAGTCTTACCTGGTCTTTCTCCTTCCAACTCGCACAGACCAACCAGCACCAGGCTCACCTCACCTCCATTCCCCCGCTCACCCAGGCATGGCGCTCACGTCTGCTGTGCGAATCTGCCGTGAGCACGCGCCCGCGGCAGCACCCGCAACGGCCGCGACTAACGCGCACAGTAGTCACCTACCTGGATTGCGCCCTGCCTTCCCCTCGCACCCCTTTCTCCAATCTCCTTTCACCGCCCAGCAATTCATCGCTCCCACCACTCTCCAACTCCCACCGCCCTTTACTCTCGCCCGCCGATCACTGCGTACTAAGCCGCGCGCCTCCCGCCATCGCTTTAGAGTCGCACCTTATAGGCCAAATGGATATCGTCCTCGTTATTGGCCTCTAACCCGTTCCATGCGTCGCAGTGCCACCGCTGCCAGCGGCAGTGTTCATAAAAGAGTCAGAAGCAGTACTCGGGCCGTCTCATCCTGCAGTAGCGCCACCAATAGCGAAGTCTCTGTAGTGTTGTTACCAGTAGCGACGATATCAGCACCTCGCATTACCGGATTCTACTCCTCGCAGCCGCGCCACCACCACACGCCATGATGGCGCCTCTCTCCCGCTCCCTCCCGTCCTCCCTCCCCCTCCTCTCGCGCCTTACCCCCATCGCCCTCCTCGCGCTCATAGCCCTCCGCGTCGCGGATGCCTACACCAAACCGCCGGACACCAAGGGGTGCGTCGCGAAGGTGGCGGAGGTCGACCGGGAAGCCATGCGCGCGGTGTACGCGGCTTTGCCCGAGAATCTGTTCTTCTGGCCAGACGAATACGCCGGCCGGCGGATCCAGATGTTGGATGACCACGACAACGTCACCTACTGCTGCGTCACGCCTAGTCCCGACTCGGCGTCGTGCTACCTCTCGTGCCCCATAAAGTGCACGCCCGCCGGCCGCATCACCAGCATCTACAAGGAACCCGACCCCGAGGAAATGCCCGGTCCCTTCGGGACTCAGGGAGGGAGCTGCCCGCCCGGCGCGCTGTCGCCCGCCATTGGCGACCTCGCGGAGCTCTCCTCGCTGGTGTTGCGCCACTCGTGCCTCGCCGGCGACCTGCCGGATTCCGTCACGCGCCTCCAGAAGCTGACGGAACTCGACATGCCCGATAACAGCTTCTCCGGCCCCATCCCGCCCGGGCTCTTCCGCCTGCCCCGACTCTGCCACGTGGATCTCAGCACCATCATTGGCGGCGCCCTTTCAGGGTCGCTGCCCGACGGGCCCAACGCGTACTCCCCGTCGCTGGAAACCGTTCGCCTTTCCGGGAACCTCTTGTCGGGAGAGCTTCCGCGCGCGCTTTTCCGGTCGCGTTGGCTGCACGAAGTGCGCCTGGAGCGCAACAACTTCACGGGGGAGATCCCGGGAGAGGCGGGGGCGTATGCGCGCAACATCTTCGCGCTCTCTCTGCGCAGCAACGGGCTGACCGGCAACATCCCGTCCGCGCTGGCGGAGATGACGGCGCTAACGGAGCTCGATCTGGGGGACAACGGCCTGTCCGGGTCCATCCCAACCGCCATCGCCACTCTCTCGCCGCTCACACGCCTCGCGATCGACCAGAACCGATTGACCGGCGACATCGTCGCTGCGCTCGTTCCTGCTGCCGCTGCGACTGGTGCTCCTGAAGCTCCTGGCGCTCCGGACGCTGCTGCGTCGGCTGGTCTCAGCGCGGCGCTCCCAATGCTCGAAGTTCTCGACGTCAGCAGCAACCAGCTCTCCGGCGACGCGGCCGCGCTCGCGCCGCTCCCGCGCGGCCTGATCCACCTGAACGCGTCGCGCAACAACCTCACATGCAGCGCCGGCAGCGACCTCTTTGCGCGCGCGACCTTCACGGACCTCTCGCACAACCGCATCAGCGGCGCGTTGGCGGATGTCGTGCGTGTGTCCGGCCCGCGTCTGTGGCAGTTGCGCGTGGCGCACAACGAGCTGTCGGGGAGCATCCCCGCGGACCTGCTTTCCGCCGTGAGCGACGAGCTCGACTTGTCGCATAACCTCCTCTCCGGCGCCATTCCACACCTCTGCGGCCCGAGCACGCGCATCGACCTCTCGTACAACAACCTAACGGGAGAGCTCCCGCGCGACGCGGCCGCGTACAAGGACAGCCTCGAGGTGCTCTCGCTGCGCGGCAACGGGCTGACCGGCGCGATTCCCCCGGCGCTGACGGAGAAGATGCGCGCGCTGACGCACCTGGATCTGGGGGAGAACCGCCTGTCGGGCGCGCCCACGGCGCTCAAACCGCTGCGCGGGCTGGACGTGGTGCGCCTCGACGGCAACGCGCTGAGCGGGCCGTTCTGCGACGCGCTGCTGCCGGCGCGCGAGCTCTATCTTGGCTTCAACGCCTTTGGCGGCGGCGGCGCGGACGCGGAAGGGGGAGGCGATCTGCACGGGTGCGTGATGCCTGAGCGGCTGGAGGTGCTGAGCGCGCCGCACGCGGGGCTGAGAGGGAGCGTTCCGGACGACCTGTTCGTTCGAGTGGACGAGGTGAAGAAACGCGTTGTCATGGGGTCGGAAAATCAGCGCCTGCACGTGAACCTCAGCCACAACAGCCTCACGGGCAGCCTGAAAGCTTTCTCCGTGATCCGCAACGGGAGCCTGGACCTGTCACACAACAATTTCACGGGCAGCATTCCGGACGGGTTGTTCCGCCTGGCGAGCACGGGGGGCCTGGAGCGCGGGGCGAGCGGGAGCGAGGAGAGCAGGTGGGGGCTCGAACGAGAGCTGGCGGTGGTGGACGTGCAGTTCAACGAGCTGTCGGGGCCGCTGTTTGACACGCGCAGGCCCGCCGGCGAGTGGCCGTCCTACTGGAACAAGCTGCGTGTGAGCGGCAACAGCGCTGCCATGAAGGGCGCCGTGGGCGCGGGGTACCTCCCCGCGCCGTCGCCTGGCGTGCAGGCGTCCGCTGCTGAGACTGCTGCTCTGCTGGCCGTGCGCGATGCACTCCTGGGGGGAGCAGCGGAGGGAGCAGCGGGGGGGACAGAGGCAGTAGCACTGGTAAATGGCGGAAACAGCTCGTGGGCGGCGATACTGAGCAGCTGGAATGTGAGCAGCGCTTGTGCGTGTGAGTGGTACGGCGTGGGGTGCACAGCAGACGGGCACGTGCACACGCTGCACCTGCTGGGCGACGCCACGGTCGCACTGCACCCCAACGTGGTTCCGGACATGCCCGACTGCAAGCCAGGCCAGCACGGGGAGATGTCATGCACTTTCGAGCCCCCCCCACCTCCCCGCACCGCGTGGTTCTTCCTGCAGGGCCTGCGTGGGGTAACCGGGAGCGTGAGTGCGATTGCGAGCGGGAGTCTGTCGGAGGCGTTGGGGCAGCTGACGCAGCTGACGTCGCTACGCATCTCCGGGCACGCCCTCTCCGGCAGCCTGCCTTCATCCCTCTCACGCCTCTCACACCTCGTCGCTCTCGACCTCTCTTCCAACCGCCACCTCTCCGGCTCCATCCCCCTGGCCCTCTTCGCCCTCCCCTCGCTGCGAGAGCTCACCCTCCGCGGGAACAACCTCACTGGAGCAGCCCTCCCAAGCACCACTTCAGCAGCGGCAGCGCTAGCAATGGCGAGTTTGGAGAGTCTAGACGTGGGGGGGAATGCTCTGTCGGGGACCATAGCAGCACGGGTGAGTCTTCTGACGGGGCTGACGCGCCTGGCGCTGGACCACAACCGGCTGGACGGCAGCTTGCCAAGGGCGCTCGGCGCGCTCTGGATGCTCCGAGACCTGCACCTGCAGGGGAACGCCCTCCGGGGCGGGCTCCTTGACCTTGCTACTGCCATCGATCCAACTGCAGGGGATGTTGTTTCCTCATCTCGCATCCCGAGCCTGACCAAAGTGTTCCCTCTGTTGGTCTCCCTGGACGTGAGCAGCAACCAGCTCTCCGGAGACGCAACTCCGCTCTTCAGGGCATGGGAAGGCTACGAGGCGTACTGGCTCCCTGAGCCTTTCTTCCCGCGCATGCGCTACCTGAACGCGTCGCACAACAACCTCACTTCAAAATCCAATCTGGACGTGCAGACGATTGCATCGGTGGTGGACCTCTCCCACAACCAGATCAGCGGCTGGCTGGAGAGCAGAGTCACCGTGGCTTGGAGGGAGCATGCGCTGATGGATGTGCTGCGTCTGTCGCACAACCAGCTGTCGGGGGAAGTGCCATTCTGGCTTATGAGCGCAGTGGGCGGAGAGCTGGACCTCTCGCACAACCTGCTTTTGGCACACTGCCGGCGCTGAATCCCGCAATGACCACTGTCAACCTCTCCCACAACCAGCTCTCTGGATCCCTCCTGCCTGTGGCTGCCTGCTCTCGCTGCACTCACGTGGACCTCTCTTACAACCTCCTCTCCGGGGCCATCCCCCCCCTCCTTGCCTCCTCGTCCTCCCCTCTCATCCACCTCAACCTCAGCAGCAACCTGCTATCAGGCTCGCTGCCACGCTCCCTCACCCTCGTGCCATTGCTCACCCATCTGGACCTCTCACGCAACAAGCTCAAAGGCTCCCTGCCTGCCTTCTGCCAGGGCAAGCAGCGCCTCGCCTCTCTCCTCCTCTCCTCCAACGCTTTCTCTGGCCCCCTCTCCTCCCTCCTCCCCTCCTCCTCCTCCTGCGCCTCTTCCCTCCTCTCCCTCAACGTCTCCACCAACCAGCTCTCTGGCTCGCTCCCCTCGTCCCTCTCGCGCTTCACCGCTCTGCACTCCTTGCAGACAGCACACAACCGCATGAGCGGCAGCATCCCTGCAGGGCTGGCATCCCTAAAGGCCCTGCAGGAGCTGGACGTGTCGTGGAGTGGGCTGTCAGGCACCATCCCTGCGCGCCTGCCAACTGCTGCCCCCTCCCTGCAAGTGCAACTTGCTGGCAACTCCCTCTCTGGCTCCGTCCCCTCCTCCCTCTCCGACCTGCCCCTCTCCTGCTTCCGACCCGGCAACCCCAAGCTCTGTGGGAATCCCCTGCCTGACTGCAAGAAGAGCTCTACCAAGCCTAGGAAAGGCAGGGTGTAG